TGTAGTGACAGGTGCCACTCAGTAACAAATTAAAGCTGTTAATTGCAAACTAAACAATGAAAAAATTGATTTTTTGATGATTCAGTAGCTAGTACTTTTTGTTGCATGCAGGAGAATCGTCTTTGGACTTTTCAAAAACAGCACATTTTTAGTGGGAACCACTGGACGGTTTTGCCAACGAGTGGTTGATGTTAGCAAGATGCCTCAGTTTTTCGAAGTGAAAGAAATACGTAGCTTTTTTAGTTTTTGATCTAGCCACTGTAATATGCATTATTTTGATTTTTGAAAAAATTTCAGATTCGCTACGGTGAGCCAGTGATTCGACGTGCTGTGCCACTGGCACTGGCTTTAATTAGTACATCGAATCCGCAGCTTTCAATTTTGGAATCTCTCTCGAAGTTCTCGCATGATGCGGACTCGGAAACAGCCCATAATGCAATCTTTGCGATGGGCTTAGTTGGAGCGGGTACCAATAATGCCAGACTTGTTTCCATGCTACGACAGCTCGCCAGTTATCATCATAAGGATCAGGTAATTGGGCATTATTTGCGCAACAGAATTTTTGTAGTTGTGGGTGCACTTCATCATTGTGGTTTTGGGCTGGCAATGTTTGGGAACGAGGCAATCTCGGCCGAAAAATTATGGGTGGAGAAGGTCAAGGCCTTGTTAAGTGTTTCTGTTGGGAAAACTGTTGAGCTAGTTTTTGCGTATGAGCTGTGGTTGCTGGTTGTAGTGACAGTTTTTTATCCGATAATATGAGAAAATGTTTTGATATAAAATGAGATTTGTTTTGGTGAAGTTTCTGTAGGATCGGATTTTCTGGACAGAATCGAGCTGGGGTAAATCATGTGAAATGTTTTGGAAATTTTTGAAAAATGTAAACTACGGATGTTTGTTTGGCACTGTAGGCCAGCCAATGAAAGGGACACAGTCGAATATTGTCAATTGTGGGAAAGTAGTGAGTGCTAATTGTGAACGAAAGTAAATGAAGTTGTGAACGAAAGTGGGGTGAACCTAGCAAGCCGGGGAATTGAGCTTATGTGGAGATGCCTTGATGTACTCCTGAAAGGCGATGCTGAGATGGCGTCGACTAGAAAAATGCGGGCAAAAGAATTTGTACTAAAATGTACAGGACGTGTTTTATTGTTATATTTGTGTTTACGTTGTTATTGCAAGGAAAAATCGATGTATTTCAGGTAAGTCTGATGTTGGTTCGTTTGGCCCAGGGTATGACACATATGGGCAAAGGAACAATGACACTGAATCCATTTCATTCGGATCGCCAGCTTATGTGCCCAGCAGCGGTTGCCGGACTTATTACCATATGCTACGCATTTCTGGACGCCAACAATTGTAAACAAATTTTTATTTGTGTAGTGAAATAAATGTAGATTCAGAATTAAAGTATGAAATTAGTGGAGTATTAAGTGTTGGAGAGAATAAAAAGCATAACGATTTCCAGGCCGAGGGACTTGTAACTTAATGAGTTTTTTATGCGTTTTGTGCTGTGTAACAGTAGTACAAAACGCATATTGTCACGGGGTTGTGTTTGTGTGTGTGTATGTCCGCAGCAACTTGTCCGCAACTTTCAACTGGGGAACTACAAAAGCTAAGAAGCTGAAAATTTAGGGGAACGTTCCCCACCCACGTGTGACCCCGCAAATTCAAATTCAGCTTCCCCGTACCCGCGGATAACACGTACGGCCCCGTGAAAGTTTTTTACGCGTAAGTTAATATCTCGGGAACCACGGAGTCTAGGAGGCTGAAATTTTAGAGTAATGATCCTCTGTCCACGCTCAACCTTGCCCATTCAAATTCAGCATTCCCGCGCTCTCGGGTACCACCTACGGGCTAGTGAAAACTTTGGCGAGTAAACTATTAACTCGGGAATCACGGAAAGATATTCATCCTTCAAGGTTTCGAATTCAGCTTTCATGCGCAGGTGCGTGAAATTTTTAAATGTTTTCCAATGTTTGAACTATTTTTGCATAGACTGAAGTACGAAGCAGTGAAAATCATTAACAGGTATTTTTAACTGTTTTCCAATGTTTGAACTATTTTTGCATAGACTAAAGTAAAAAGCAGTGAAAATCAAGTTTTTAACTGTTTTTCAATGTTTGAACTATTTTTGCATAGACTAAAGTACAAGGAAGTGAAATCTTTAACTGTTTTTCAATGTTTGAACTATTTTTGCATAGACTAAAGTACAAAGCAGTGAAAATCATTTTCTTAACTGTTTTTCAATGTTTGAACTATTTTTGCATAGACTAAAGTACAAGGAAGTAAAAATCATTACAGCGATCGTTCGATGGGCTGAATTGCGCATTACTCATGATCGCACCGGTTAGTCTGGTGCGCGTTGCTATTTATTTTTGCACAAGCCCATTGTAGCATCCAAGTTGACTCTGCAAGCGTAAGTGGCGAAGCTGCGATAGAATACGGAAACAAAGAACAGTAGTATCAGGAGAGAAAGCCAAAGTGAGAAAAGACATTTCGGTCCATTAAGTCATATGCGGCTCAACTTGAAACCACGACTGGGCCACGTCAGTATGATGGTCGCAGTGCCTAATGAGGAAAAGAAAGGTGGAAATGACAGAAAAGGAGGGGAAGTTTATATAGAGGTCTAAACATGTCTTTCAATAATGTCAAGAAAAATCGAGATTATTTCAGTCATTTTTTTTTATACCCCTTAATTTCAGGTGTACTGAATAATCGTCAGCACTATTTGATATATTCGATGGCTCTGGCTATACAGCCACGACTGCTGATAACTTTGGTGGAGGATGAAACAGATCCGGACAAACTGAAACAGGTGAACGTAAGCGTCCGCGTCGGGCAAGCAGTTGATGTAGTTGCCCAGGCTGGTAAACCGAAAACAATCACGGGTTTCCAAACTCACACGACTCCGGTCCTCATGGCTTACGGCGAACGAGCGGAACTTGCCAATGAAGAATGTTAGTTTTCTATTTCTGGATACTTTTTTTGATAATTTGGCCCGTTGTTCGTTCATAGTAGCGCATCTTTACGTCACCACTAGTAATAAAATATTTTAATGTTGAAAAGAAGAAATTAGTAAAATTTTAAATGTATTGAAAATTATTTTTAATGCTAAGAAATGTTTCGGTCCATTAAGAGTCGTATACATTTCTTACCATTACCACAACTGGACCTCGTCAGTACGACGATTGTGGATTAGTATGAATTCGTGTGAATTTGATTTTAATTTAAATTAAATATGCTGTTGAAAAGGGATAGGTAAAGTAAGAGAGGAACCTTTCTTTTCCTTGGTTCTCTGTCTGAGGTTACGCCATCTGCCAATCCCGTTGGTGTTAATTCTGGTATTTCCTTCTTTTCCATTATTCTAGAAAAAAATTGAACTTTTCTTTCATAGTTTCTGTAATTCGTTGTAGTTTCGATTCGTTGTTGCGCTATCCGAGCCCACGCGATACCGTGCAGGTGGTCAATGAAAGACCCCATAGTACGCCTGTATGGTATCGGGTCGACTCGGAGAGCACAGCAATGAATTGAATGGAGAAGTTGCCAGCTGAATCGATGGCGTGACAGCGGACGTAGATGACATGCAGCTGCTCGAGCAGCTTTTCTACTTGAAGTAAACAGAAAAAAGTGCTAAGTCTAAATATGTTATGTGGCATTAACTGTTTTTTTCGACTCCACAAGCTTATCTGTCAGTGTTTCTCATCGTATTTCTGTCCGGTAATTGCCAGTTGTAGGAAGAGATCTGTTAGGAGCTGCATATTTTCAAGAACTTTCGGGTTCAGAAACAGAAATACCCGAAGTCAATTCACGGGCGATCAGATGTCCCTTTTTGAGTCATTACATGACTCTTCAACATGTCATACAGTTTTGTACCAAATTAACAGTCTTACTATCTTCCCCATCAGAATCCATTTACTATTTCCACCTCACATTAAAATTTGAGGATTTCGGCGGTATCGTATTTTCCTCGGTTCAAACTCTCCGTTACTTCAGAAATCATGGTTCGACCTACTATAGGTAGCAAAAAAAATTTTTATCAGTTTAACCCACTTCGGCCGCTCACTTGGACTGTCCATTTCAGAATCGGTCTTCAAATGGCCGTTACTTATATTATTCTTCACTGAATTATTATTTAATAAGGCCTCGTTTTCAGATACCTCGCTAACACCGTATCTGGAAGGTCTGGTTATACTCAAAAAGAACCCGAATTATGAATCTTCCTCGGCGGAAATGAAGAAATAATGCGATGGTTGCGTAATGAATGATTGTTCAACTCGTTATAATTTCACAGAATCCCATCAAAAAAACCAGGAAAGCTTAGAGACAAAACAAAAAATCGTGTGAGAGAAAATTTCAAATTTTAATTTAACTTTTGCTGAGTTAGTTCTGACTACATGTCATTTTAGGTCTTTATCCCATGGAACTGAAAAAGAATATGTTTGAGGCTAATTTCGTGAGTTGCTGGATAGGTAAGGTGTAGAAAAGGAAGTGTTCTTTACTCGAATAATGTTAGTTAGAAGTGCATAAATATTTTGCGATTTTATGGTAAAAAATTTAGATTGATTGTTCCAAAATACTGATTCTATTGCAGAAAGTACTGTTCAATTCCGGTCTGTAATAAATTTTGAGGATTTTGTATGTAATGGCTAAATCTTAGCAATTCAGCTCTTTATCCCGTGGAACTAAAAAAGAATATTTTTGAGGCTAATTTCGTGAGTTGCTGGTGAAGTAAGGTATAGAAATAGGATTGTTCTTTGAATAACGTTAATCAAAATGCATGAACATTTTTGCGGTTTTGTGATAAAAAATTAAGATTGATTGCTCCAAAATACTAATTCTACTGCAGAAAACACTGATCGCTTTCGGTTTGTAATAAATTGTGAGGATTTTGTGTGTAATGGCTAAATCTTAGCAAAAAAGTGGGGGGAATACTGGAGCATATAAACCCAAGTACCAGGGTATTTTACGGATGAAAAGCGTTTTTTTTTGGAACGGGGAGGGGGGAGGGGGAAACTGCTGCCCCCTTGGAAATGTGCTTGATTTTCGGTGCGGAACGGTCTTCTGTTGTATTTTTCTTGTTGAAAAAAATACATTGTTCTTTTGCTGACTTCTTTGTTATGATTTTCACTCTTTTTTTTTGACTTGTACTGCTTTTTGTACAATAAATCACACAATCTCTGTTTTTGTGCACTAAGGATTTGTACTGCGCCATCGTTTCTTGGCTTCCATTATCTTCGATTTAACAATCGGTACTTGCAAACATCATTTTCCCGCACAGTTCTTCTAGGTATCCTTATTGCTGGTTCGATGGCGGAATCGAGCCCTGACGAAGTGGGCGGCGGCGTTTTCCTGAGTGATGGCATCATGGGTTTGATTCAACCAGCAGTTGAACGTATTGATAATCAGGTTCACGCCACACGACTCAGCCAGCAGAAACTCAAAAAACACATCGAGACGCTAGCACAGTGTAAGTTACTTTCTACTTTATAATATTTCAGTGTGGAAAGTTGCTTCCTCTCTCTGATTTCTCTTTTTTCTGCATATCTGTCGTGCAAATTAGCCACATGACTGTTCAGCACATGGCGGCTGGGAGGCTGTACTGATGATTCCCGCTCTTACCCGCTTGCACTGCTCGGTCTGTGTTTACAGCTAAGGGATGAAACATACACTAGCTACATCGTGAAATGTCCTGGGGCGCATGACACTTAAGACCAATCCTTCTACTCTTTAATATGTAACTGTGCATGTAGGTAGAATATGTGCTCAGTTTTGTGTGTTGAACATATGAGGTCATAAATGCAGAAGAAATTTTTTACTCCATGAACTGCTTGTGATAAATTTAACATGCGAACGGGCGAGCATCGTATACTGAACACTCGGAATTCGAATAGTTCGCTTCGCAGAACTGTTTTGGAACGAGCTTTCTAATCACTGCTTGATGAGGTGCTAATATTCATACGCCTAGAACAGCTTGCTAAGACTTGTCTTAGAACTTTCCGCAACGTAATAACTACACACTAGTGGTTCAGATCTGCTTTTCCTGACTTAAATGCGCCTTTACAATGTAATTGATGCTTGTTTTTGACTTAAATATTTCGTGCTTAATGGCAGTGTGCCAAAAGTTGGTATAGGAAAGCTTCGAAAAATTACTGGGTCATGGAACATGAGCAGGCAGCCACGTGTTTTCAGGATTTTCATAAAGGCCCTCTACCGGAATCTACTGGCAGATTGGCTCCGGCTCTGTGTGACAGTGAGTCCTGCCTTTTTATTTATTTTTAATTTTTGGATTTGAAAGAATATTATTAAGAATATTATAAAGAAGAGTATCACAAAGAATATTATTTTTGGATTTGAAAGAATATTTTTAGATTTGAAAGAAATCTCAGAGGAGCAACAAGCGCCATACGATCTTGATTCATACGTCAGAAAGTTGGATGATTCGAAAAGAAGAATAGCGGCAATCGGTAATTCGCTTCAAATTGTGCATGATCGCCTAAGCCGTCTGCAACGAAATATCGCACGAGAAACGTATCAGCAGAAGCAATATATTGTTCAGCCAGCGCCACCAGCACCAAATCGATGAAAGTTCGATTAATAAGTACCGGCACGCACCAGGGTAGCCGGTGCGATAAAACGTTTTACGCAGTTCCATCCAGCGAACTTTTGCCTGCTAAGGATTTTCACTATTTTGCACTTTGTTCTACACAAAAATAGTTGACTGCTTCCAGTTTGCGAAATTTTCTACTAAAAATCTTATATACTGGCGCGTGAAAGCTGAATTTGAAATCTTCGACGATAAACATCCAAAATTAACCTCCTGATTTTCTGGCTTTCGAGCGCTTTTTGTACCAAAACTTCTGCTTGGTCGTATGTGAGGTCTCGGCATGCTTGGGAACTCAATTTGAATTTGTGAGGCCCCTACATACGCGAAAACATCTCCATGAAATTAGCACTTTTCTGGCTCCCAAGATAATAATTTTCCTGCCAAAATTTTGAGAGGGTCGTACGTGATTCCTAGATGTAGAAGGCTGAATTTAAAAGTAAGAAGTTGTACTTAGGCAGAAAACATTACCGTAGATTTTCAGCTACCTAGCTTCCCTGATTTCCGAGATAACAGTGTTCCTCGCCAAAATTTTTACAAGATTGCACGTGATACTCAACCGCACAGGAAAGCTTAATTTAAATTTTCTGGGTCACACGTGGGCAGGGAATATATCCATAAAATTTCAGCTTCACAGCTTCCGCGTTTCCTGAGATAATAATTTCCCTCGCCGAAACTTCGACGGGTCATACGTGCTACCGTTAGACATGGGAAGGCTAAATTTAAATTTGCAGGGAACATTCCCCTAAATTTTCAGCTTTCTAGCTTTTATGGTTCCCGAGTTGAAAGTCGCAGATAAGTTGCTGCGAACACACACGCACATAACCCCGCGACAGTACGCGTTTTGTACAGCTGTTGCACAGCATGCCCAGGCTGGGGCGCACCAGGCGGGCCGGTGCGATTATGCGTTTTTGCACTTTTCGTGCCGTAGCAAGATCGCAAGGAGAGTGTAGCTAACCCTGTGAAATACTGGCCCTCGAAGTTCGGAAATTAATTGTGCAGCTATGTGGTATGTCAGTTTAGCTAACCCTGTGAAATACTGGCCCTCGAAGTTCGGGAAGTTAACTGTGCAACTCTGTGGCATGTCAGATGTAGGTGTCGCATGAAATACTGGCCCTCGAAGTTCGGGAAGTTAATTGTGCAACTATGTGGTGTGTCAGTTGTAGGTGTCGACCCTCGAATTTCGGGAAGCTAATTGTGCAACTATGTGGTATGTCAATTGTAGGTGTCGACTTCAGTGACCAGAAAAATGGTTGGTTCACAAAAGAAGGCCACACTGGAAGAGTTAACATTACCCTAAAGTTTCAGCTTTCTAGCTTTTCTCGTTCTCGGATTAGTGATGTTCGCGCCAAAATTTCCACGCGCTCGTACATGGGCTCGGGCGCTTCTAAACACCTGATTTTGCTCATACATGAGTAGGGAACATTCCGTTAAAGTCTCAGCTTTTTAGCTTTTCCCGCTCTCGGGTTACTGATTTTCGCGCCAAAGTTTCCACGTGCTCTTATGTGGGCTCGGGCTCTTCTAAACACCTGATATTGGTCGTACATGAGTAGGGAATATTCC